ATCCCGGTACACTCGCGTGCACCACAAGCAGCCCACCGCTGCCCTTCTCCGCTTCGAGAGTACAGAGACTCTCAGGGGCTAAGTCCCCATGGCGTGCGCCACCCGCACGCCCCTCATGAAGACTTAGTGTTTCCCCAGTAGGGCGCCCCGCCCCTACTGGTGTCCGGCGTTCCCCTGGTTCCTGGGGCGCGGCTTCTGCCAGCGACCCCTAGAGCCAAAGGGCTTCGAAGAGAACTTCTTCTTCAGTCCTTCCGCGGGACAAGCACGTTTCATGTGCCCAAGCTTGCCACAGCCGTAGCAACGAATGTCGCTCTGCTCGGCCATGCCCAGATTCATGGGAACCGGCCGGTTGATCGCTCCATTGCCGGAGTTACCATTAGGCGCACCGCCAGAGACAGGGTTGCTCTGACATACCGTGGCGGGGGTACGAGCCTGCTTGTGACTGTACTCTTCCTGGAGGGCGATCTGAATCGCCTCCTCCATAGTGTTTGCTTGCACACGGAACAGCTGCGTGCGGGCAGGACCGACACGCAGACCGTCCATGAACACGGTCACCTTGATGTGTTCAGGCAGGGGGTTCCCCACCAAAGAGACAGAGAGCACTCGCATCTCCTGGATGTACTCATGCAGCTCGCGCCTTCCTTGTTTGCAGGCGAGGAAGCGCGAACGCTGGCGGTACTCGTAGTTCGCCGGAAGAAACGCGGCCCGCAGCTGCTCGCACAGCTGGGACCATGATGCGAAGCATCCAGGCGTCGTCGCTTCGCGCGTATACGCCCAACTCTTAGCGCGACCACTAAGGTTGGAGAGCGCAAAGGCGACACGGAGTCGCTCGTCCGAGACGAGAGCCGCGTCCATCGCGAGCTCAACCTCTCGAACCCAGAAGTGAAGGTTTTCTCCTTCCTTCCCTTCGAAAGGGTGAACCTTCAGCCGCAGGGGCTTCGGTTGCACCGGCTTCGGCGCGGCCGCAGTGGCCTGCAGCCCTTGAACGTGGGCGATGAGCCCGCGCTCGTAGGTGTCGAACGCGTTGATACGCTCAACCTGCTCAGCCGGCGTCGCCGCCGCTAAGCTACGCAGGGCATCTGTCCCAAAGATGCCTGTCATCTTACGAACGGACTCGTACTGCGAGTCGATCAGATGGGGAAACTCCGTACGATCCATCTTGGCTCACTCGATGGACCACACATGATTCAGGTAGTCCAATCTACCCGCGTAGGCGTAGGATTGACCCCAAGTGCTACCAAGTGTGACGGGGCACACAGCACTTCTTAACATAGGAAGCAGGAGTATACAAACTCCAAGTGAACAGTCGTGCACGTGTCCCTGGTCTGAAGGGGACGACTTGACTTGAAAAGCGGTAGATCTAAGACTGAATGTATTTATAGGTTGGTACAGATTTGGCCTGCATACAAATCCTAAGTTCCCTATAGTTTGTGTCATACAAAATGTATCTGTTGGCTCTGAGGCCACTTGGGTCACTATTCAGGGGAGTGACCGATGTAGCCATCCCGGAATAGTGACAAGGTCACTATTCCATGTAACTCCGTTACCTTTATCCCCAACTGGCCCCGGATTAAGGACAAATACAAGGACCAAAAGTTAGAGGCTTATGCTGGTATTGATTTTGCGAGATACAACGTATTATTGCTATGACCAGAAAGCCCTTGATTCGTTCTACAAGGGGGGTGCCTTGCACACTGTCTTCTGTTGTCCATCATTGTAAAAATGTAGATCGAAAAATATCATATATAACATATCACGTTTCGGTTTTTGTCCTTAATTCTAGGACAAAAATCGCACATTGACGTGATTTCATTATGTGGATCCAGACGTTACACCTCTCACACAGTCTATGTACTTGTTATAAATGAGACCTCGTACATGCCCGGGCGTGATTACACTCAATATAAACGCCAAGTCTATTTTGGTCCTTTTTTGCGGTTTAAGGACAAAACCCCGGAAAGTACCTCGTACTTCTCTGGCCCACATAAGAAACAACACTTCGGTTTTCTGGACATAACTATTTACAAAAAAATCGTTTGGCGACTCGCAATACCTCAACCGAAAGCTGCGCGTTTCACGCTATGATTTAAAAAATCTAGCAGCAGAAAGAAAAGAGAAACAGCCTTTTATCTGAAGTCCGTTTTAGGCAACATTAGGTTTTTTAGCGACGTGCCGTTAAAAATTAGCGATATTAGAAAATAAAATATCACCGTAATCGCGAGTGACTGCTTTACCCTTATGTTCGGTTGTCGATGTTGTAGCGCCAGTTGGAGACGAGTTAGAAGGGCTACAGTTGTGAGGTTTTTCTACGCGATTATCTCGACATGCGCAGACCAATTTATTTTGGCCAATAGTAAGATGAAACAGTTGATTATACCCAATCATATGTGACATGTGGTTCACATCAAACTGAGGTTTAATGCCGAATGTTGTTTCTTAAGTGGGTCAGAGAAGTACTAAAGCGGATTTTTGTCCTTAAATCAAGGACAAAAAATGTTGGGGTTATGTCAACGTCACAATAGCACCACTACACTGTAAAGGCGCCCAAGACGCCATTAGTAAAGCAGCTGGTTTTCTGTTGCCTCAGCTTTCCAAAGTCCAAAACGGGCGCTAACTTTGTCACTACGTAGCACTTAAGCCAGCATCTGGGCAAACCTTTAGTACTGCCTACTTCATGGGGATATGTAAGAGCTATCCAACGCACTAGCGTGCATCGGCAGAGTATAGGTATCCACATAGCAGAGCCTCCGTCTCCTCATGGACTCCTTCATGGTGCCCATTTTCAAAGCCATCAGGGCCGGAGGTCACCCCTCCTCATGTGGTCCACATTTTAAAGGCGCCGTAAAGTTAACCCCTCTAACCCCGTATTCTGTATCCTACAGAATAAGCATTGTCACAGGACATAATATCCAGCAAACTTGTCCTCTCTTTCGAACTTCGCGTATGGATGTTTGTATAGCCGGTATTGTGCACATCTTCCTGTTAGATTAGCGATGGGAAGATAAACGGGGTTTATTCCGCGGTAATAGACGGACGAGTATAAACCACCAACAGGTTTGAAAATTCGGGTGGAAGCCTAAAACCGCCGCGTGTCAGCCACTCGTCCTTTCCTTCATTCCGAAACTGCGCTGTTCAAGACGTCGCAATGCAAGCTTTGTTGGGGCCCGTCGAGCGCGCCCAAGTGGCCAAGGACCATGGCCGAAGACGATCATGATGAGCGCCATTGTGATCTACAGGTAAGCGAGAGCGTGTACTTTGCTCTGTAACATTGTACTAGTGGGATATTGATTCTACGTTGCGATGTTGATTACCAGACCTGGTGATCCGACCCAGACGACGCTATGAGCTCTCGCGTGTGGTCCGATTGGCAGATCGATTGCGGAGTCAGCGCACAACCTCATCGGTTCCTACGAAGCCGGCTTCAGCCGGGTCTACCGCTATATTGTAGCTGATGTAGTGGCTACTCAAGAGGCTACAGAAGAAGCGCTCCTCATGGTGTGGCTACACCGGAGACTACAGAAGAAGCGGTAGGTGCTACGACGGATGCTACAGAAGAAGCTCTCCGCGTGATGAGGTTACACCGGAGATTACAGAAGAAGGGACAGAGGCTACGACGGAGGCTACCGATGAAAGCGGCAGGAATGGAGCGGCAGTGCCGGAGGCTACAGAGCAAAGCGGAGCCTGCCAAAATGGCAAAGATGACCCACTGCTGGCGCGAACATTGAAGAGCGTGCGCATGTAAAGGAAGAAGTAGACGTTGGCATGAATATCATATATTGTCATGTTTCGTACAAGAGGAACCGTGTCATTACGGGCTATTGAGCATGCAAGCTCCCTGGTGTTGTTAGAGAGACAATCGTAACAAGCTTGTTAGGTGGGCAAAAGAAATCTAATGATGCGCTAATGTCAAGCACAAGGAAGAATTCGCCCAGTTCCTCCTCACTACGTCAGTTAGGAACAGGGCGATTTCTTCCTCCGCGTTTATCGCGACGTGCCGAAGATGGGTGGCTGGAGCCGAAGTATGCTGCCTTAGCAGCCTTGCAAGGTATTACCATGTAGCAGGTTTTGAGCGTGCTCTACGCTCGCCACGACCAATAGAAGCTCACCATTTCGGCATATGGTGGATACATTGAGCATGTTTAGTTCACTTTCGTAGCTGTTCTGTGCACAATGTACCCAGCGCTTGACCGCAAGATGCGAAAGGGCTTCCAACAGCCATCTGGTAGTGTTGTGAGTAGTAAGGTGCAGTAACGAGACTCCTGTGATTCTCGATTTTTTGTGTAGAAGAGATTTTATTTGGTCTACTATGGTAGCCATTAAAATCCTAAAGAAGAGAAGAAAGAAGTGTGATTCTCCGTTCTCCGTCTGTGGTTTTATCGTTTTCTCAGTTTGCCTTCGCTCAACACGCGTGTCTAGCAACATGTGGCGTGTTGGTTGAGTACGCCGCCATCCGTTGTGCAAGAGCGTGGCTGCATCACGCAACGCGTGATGACATGTGCTGTCAAGCTCATCTAATCGCCCTATTTGATGATATTGATGATTCTCCTCGACTGTCCTTCGAGTAGTGGAGAGATCAAGCGAGGTCAGTCACGGCTAATTCCACGAAGCCGCTACATACTCGAGCTCACACCATAATTGACGTTGACCTAAACAACCAACCTCACAGTCCAGTCACCCACTCGAGTCCGATGAACCACGGATTACTGCTCCCACCCAACGTCGAGCGGCTAAGCGACAGCGCGATTGGTGTGGTGGTGGCTCGCAGGCCAGCTCCACCGAGCTATCTACTAGACCCAGCAACTCCGTATACCCCGAACAAGCCACCTCAACAGCGCTCCTCCACCAAATCCCAGGCTCCAGCGGCGCAATCGAGCAGCCAGATCGCTCATCCAGTTGAACGCACGGGGGAAGCGATGGTCCAGCCCAGTCCTCTTTCACCCAGCGGCCAGCCGCATAACGGACTATGGTGCAAGCTCAGCACCGCTGAAATGATACTCATGATGCACCGACGCCGAAGCTGCCTGACCCAACGACGGTACAGGAAGAAGATCGAGGACAAGGCAACTTTTCTGTCAAATGAAGTAGCTCGACTGCGTGACGAGTTCCAAGAGCTTAAGGTGAGAAAGACGCGCGTTTTGAAGCCAGCCGTGCCCCGCACAAACCCATTGAGGCTTGTGGTGGAGTACTTCCATCGTTTCCGCCACGGCCTCGATCTACAGCAGCCTCTGGATGAAGAACACGCACAGAAAAACTTTCTGCAGAGAGTCATGGCGTCTGAGGTCGCCTCGAACCGAGGTTTTGGCGTGCAGACGATGCTGGACGAGTGGAGAACCCTACCACTGCGTCACGACAACCTGGAGGTTGCGCTTGTGAAGCTGAATTACGGCGCAAAATATGTCATTGTCGCTGACGTAAAGATTGCCACGACCATCACTGAGCCAGCGCTCCACAAGGCGCTAGCTGGCATGAATGCTGACGACAAGGAGACCAACTTGCCTATGCTTGCGTGGAAGCTACTCGTCCAGCGACTCGTCCTCCCCGGTACTGTGCGCTTCGAGTGGGATGAGGCAAACTATCAATTCTCTAGCGTCTTCTCACAGGTAGACATGCTGAGGCCCTTGATGAGACTGCTTGGTACTGTGGCGGAAACATCCATAGTACTGAATTGTGCGCTCGGAATAGCTGTCTGAAACGTTGCTAGCAACCTTGTAGCTCCAACAAAAAAGATTTGTATGGGTTTGTTTTAGCTCATATTGACCAGAACATTAGGTTCGAAAACAAAATATTCAGGTTACTAGAGCAAATTCTTGAGTGCGCTTATAATTAATAGCAGCAGTTTATGCTGTGGTTCCACGCGTCTGCATCGCTGTACAGGTCAAGGAGAAAGAGAAAACAGGAATGAAGTTTACGATCCTAGCGAGCGAATCTGTACTTCACTAGGCTGCTGCTCAAGCATGCCGAGTGCTTTATGTTCGGAATCGTTTCCAGATCGCTTTACGGTGGCATCCAAATCGTTGGTCTAACTACTGGACCCTGCCGATTGCTATAGCGAACAGAGTTACCGGTACAGTTTTGAGCGCGAGATTTAAAAACCAAGGGCGTGTAGAATCCACGGTGCTGTTTGCTGGCTAAGTCTATCGCTTTGGACCGAGACTTAGGACCTCCTGCGGCCTGAAGCACTGCTGTCATTCGGAGTTACTCCGCATATGCTACATTGAGTCCGCTGTTGTAACCCTTGCTTTTGTCGTCGCCTCGCTTCCTGTCCACACTTCGCTATGATATAACAAGCCCCGATTATGGGACGTATTTTCCCCACCACGCAATACGTGATGGCAGTCATGCTGACTGTCGCGTGGGGACCAGATGCGACTCTTTGGGTGGGATGAGTCAAGTGCGCGCTACCCACAAATCTGTTGTCACTCCACAATTAGCGTTCGCACGTAACATTCAACAATGGACAACAGTAGTTTCTTACACCCGCCCAAAAGTTCGTCCTTGAGCAGTGACATGATTGGCGCCGTGGTGGCACAACGCCCCAAGCCAGTCTCCCGAGCGTTCGACGGCTCCTGAATGAACCCTCAACCGCACTAAGGTCCCAGATCATCTGGGCCAGATGTGTCCACCAGCAATACAACCACGCCGTGTTGAGCAGCTACGCAGACACCGCCCACGCTGCAGTATCCCGCTTCGTCCAGTAGCAGCAACGTGCGCCAGTCTCCGACTCACCCCAGCACCAACCTACCGCTGCTAAAGCCAACAATGAATTGGCAGCCCGGCGAAGATCGCTAAAACATGTTCAAGGTCCGCATGGCCGAGTATCGCCAGCGTCGCCGGGCGATCCAGCAGCGTTACAAGCAGAGGATGGTCGAGAAGACCGTCGTTCTGGAGGAAGACGTAGTGCGACTACGCAAGGAGATCCAGCAGCTCGAGCGGAAGCAGTCCAACGTCGACAAGGGTGTGGTCATGAAGACGGAAGGTCGTCGCTGAGTACTACTGGATCTTCCGCAACGGCTACAATCCGCTTAAGTCGAGGCTTGCTGCTTCCTTCGGTTCAGAGCCGGCGATCCCGGACAACGCGAATGTCCACAGGCGGTTCCTTCAGGCTGCAATGGAGCCGGACGTCATCTTCAACGGAGGATGCGGCGTCGAGGCGGCGCTGGAGAACTGGCGACTTGTTTCGCTGCATCACGAAGTGATGGACATCCAACTTGTGCGTGTGGAGGAGGGCCTGAGGGCTCGATCGTCGCCACCATCAGCGGACGCACGACCACTGTAACGGGGTTACACGAGAGTTACCCGAAGGGTTACAAACTGGGTACACATTGTCTAACCTAAATCAGTAGGAGAATCAGTACATGGATTCAGAGCCACTGATTATGCATATGACTAGGGTTCACTATGCTAGATAGTGAACCGGATACATTTATACCGTAGGCGGCTTTGTCGCAATATAGGGAAATACATTTAGTTTGAGATTCACACAGTTAAGAGTTAAGGGTTGACTCTTGGAGTCCGTTAGGTATACGGACTCGTACGTTCTGCTATTAGAACGGACTATCTTAACCTGAGACTCTGTAAGTCTGTTAAGCTTCCTCTGACGCAAAGTGTAACGGGGTTACATGGAATAGTGACCTTGTCACTATTCCGGGATGGCCACATCGGTCACTCCCCTGAATAGTGACCCAAGTGGCCTCAGAGCCAACAGATACATTTTGTATGACACAAACTATAGGGAACTTAGGATTTGTATGCAGGCCAAATCTGTACCAACCTATAAATACATTCAGTCTTAGATCTACCGCTTTTCAAGTCAAGTCGTCCCCTTCAGACCAGGGACACGTGCACGACTGTTCACTTGGAGTTTGTATACTCCTGCTTCCTATGTTAAGAAGTGCTGTGTGCCCCGTCACACTTGGTAGCACTTGGGGTCAATCCTACGCCTACGCGGGTAGATTGGACTACCTGAATCATGTGTGGTCCATCGAGTGAGCCAAGATGGATCGTACGGAGTTTCCCCATCTGATCGACTCGCAGTACGAGTCCGTTCGTAAGATGACAGGCATCTTTGGGACAGATGCCCTGCGTAGCTTAGCGGCGGCGACGCCGGCTGAGCAGGTTGAGCGTATCAACGCGTTCGACACCTACGAGCGCGGGCTCATCGCCCACGTTCAAGGGCTGCAGGCCACTGCGGCCGCGCCGAAGCCGGTGCAACCGAAGCCCCTGCGGCTGAAGGTTCACCCTTTCGAAGGGAAGGAAGGAGAAAACCTTCACTTCTGGGTTCGAGAGGTTGAGCTCGCGATGGACGCGGCTCTCGTCTCGGACGAGCGACTCCGTGTCGCCTTTGCGCTCTCCAACCTTAGTGGTCGCGCTAAGAGTTGGGCGTATACGCGCGAAGCGACGACGCCTGGATGCTTCGCATCATGGTCCCAGCTGTGCGAGCAGCTGCGGGCCGCGTTTCTTCCGGCGAACTACGAGTACCGCCAGCGTTCGCGCTTCCTCGCCTGCAAACAAGGAAGGCGCGAGCTGCATGAGTACATCCAGGAGATGCGAGTGCTCACTGTCTCTTTGGTGGGGAACCCCCTGCCTGAACACATCAAGGTGACCGTGTTCATGGACGGTCTGCGTGTCGGTCCTGCCCGCACGCAGCTGTTCCGTGTGCAAGCAAACACTATGGAGGAGGCGATTCAGATCGCCCTCCAGGAAGAGTACAGTCACAAGCAGGCTCGTACCCCCGCCACGGTATGTCAGAGCAACCCTGTCTCTGGCGGTGCGCCTAATGGTAACTCCGGCAATGGAGCGATCAACCGGCCGGTTCCCATGAATCTGGGCATGGCCGAGCAGAGCGACATTCGTTGCTACGGCTGTGGCAAGCTTGGGCACATGAAAGGTGCTTGTCCCGCGGAAGGACTGAAGAAGAAGTTCTCTTCGAAGCCCTTTGGCTCTAGGGGTCGCTGGCAGAAGCCGCGCCCCAGGAACCAGGGGAACGCCGGACACCAGTAGGGGCGGGGCGCCCTACTGGGGAAACACTAAGTCTTCATGAGGGGCGTGCGGGTGGCGCACGCCATGGGGACTTAGCCCCTGAGAGTCTCTGTACTCTCGAAGCGGAGAAGGGCAGCGGTGGGCTGCTTGTGGTGCACGCGAGTGTACCGGGATACGATCATCCCTTGAGAATCTTGATCGACTCTGGGGCGTCCAAGAACTTTGCGCGCCGCCAGACTGTCGCACGCAATCGCGACAAGTGCGCCGATGCGCTACGAGGCAGCAAAGGCAACGGGCTGGTCTCGGTAAGACTGGCCGACGGTACGGTGGTAGAAGTACCTCGGGTCCACATGGACCTCACTGTCAAGTTCGAGGACTTCGACAGCACGGAGCCGTTCTTGGTCCTAGACATGGACAAGTACGACTTGATCCTTGGTATGCCGTGGCTGGAGAAACATGAGCCTTGGATCGACCGGCGCGGCAAGGCCATCGGGGCCAGCCGTCCCCCACGCTCTGACAGAGCTTTGATGAGTCATGTTCCCACCTCTGGCAGCAGCTGGGGCACCCGCGAGGGCCCCCAGGGCGCAGCAGCGTCTAATGAGTTCTTGGGGTCCGTCGAGACTGACGACGACTCCGACCGGGCCGGACAAGGCCTGAGAGTGGAGGTGCCGGACAGCACCTACCAGGTGGGTAACGTAGGTCCACACGCGGGTAACGAAGTACCGCAGACAGCAAGAGCTGCTGGAGAAAGCGCCGCTGGCGTTGGCGTGGGTAACCAAGTTCCACGCGAGGTCACTCAGACCGTAACTGATGAGGAAGGCACTGCAGGCGCTTCCAATGTGGGTAACATAGTTCCACAGGAGGTCACTCAGACCATAACTGATGCGGGAGTCGCTGGAAGCGCTCCTGGTGTGGGTAACCAAGTTCCACACGGCGAGGTGGGTAACATAGTTCCACCCAGCAAGGCGGGTAACCAAGTTCCGCTCAAGGACAAGGCGGGTAACGTAGTTCTGCACGAGATCGAGAAGATCGGTGGTGCCGTCAAGGCCGCGCCACGAGACGAAGACACCCGAGGGTCACGTCGTAAGCCGGGCCTAGTCGTGTGGCCGACGACGCTAGTCGCCAGCGACTCCGAGCCTCCAGCCAAGGCTCCAGCTGCCGAAGAGTGTTATCACATCTTCGACGGCGTGACCGGTCGTCGGGTCAAGACAGGAGCTGTCGAGCTTACAGCTCTGCCCGAGGTTTCAGAGTTGCTGAACCTTGAGGAGCTCGCCATGGAGGACTTCTTGGCCGAGCTAAAGGCCGGGGAGATCGCAGAGTTGGTTCTCCTCCGACCGGAGTCCACGTCGGCCGAGTTGAACTCGTCCTCGGGCATGGACCAGGCAGTCCTAGAGGAGTTCCAGAGACAGCGCGCGTCGCGCATGGGCTCTGAGATTCTTAAGAACCCCCGGGACCCGGTGTACCCCTTGGTGAAGGAGTTTGAGGACGTGGTGTCCAAGGATCCACCGTCCAATCTCCCTCCGGACAGGGGAATCAGGCACGAGATCGATCTCTTGCCGGGCACGAAGTACTGTGTCATGAGGCAATGGCCTCTTCCCCGGGAGCAGTGTGAAGTCATTGATGCCTTCTTTGCCGCCAAGGCGAAGGCAGGCATGGTGCGGGAGTCGAAGTCCCCGCACTCGACGCCTACCTTCTGTGTTCGCAAACCGAACGGAAAGTGGTGTCTGGTTCATGCTTATAACAAGCTGAACAGCGCGACGGTGCCTGCGCAGACACCGATCCCGCGCAAGGACGTGTTGCTCAACAACATGGTCGGCTGCACGCTGTATAGCGCGCTGGACCTGGTGGACGGTTACTACCAGATCCTGATGCGCGAGAGCGACATCCCACTTACGGCTGTGAGCACGCCGAGCGGTATGCTCTGGGAGTGGCTGGTCATGCCTCAGGGGCTTTCTAACGCCCCGGCAACGTTCAATCGCTTGGTCACACAACTGTTCCAACCTTTGCGTGCGTTCACACAGACGTACTTTGACGACATCTTCGTCCACAGCCGTGCCGAGGCAGGCCAGACGGCCATGGAGGTGCATCTCCAGCACCTTCGACGTGTGTTCGAAGTCATGCGGGCGAACAAGCTGTACGCCAACATCGACAAGTGTGTGTTCGCAGCTGAGGAGATCAAGGTCCTGGGCTGCTTCGTCAGCAGCGCCGGGGTCCGGGCGGACCCGGAGAAGGTGAAAACCATCGCGGCTTGGCCGCCACCTCGGTCGCAGAAGGACCTACGACAGTGGTTGGGCCTCGCCAACTACCTGCACAAGTATAGTGCAGGCTACGCCGAGCTGGCACGGCCCTTGTCGGATCTCCTGAAGAAGGATGTCGACTGGCGCTGGGAGCGTCGCCATCAAGATGCTTTTAACGACATCAAAGCGAGCTTACAGCGCGCGCCAGTCCTGGCATTGCCGGACGAGACGAAGCCTTTCAGCGTAGTCTGTGATGCGTCTGACTACGCAATTGGCTGTGCGCTATTGCAGGCCGACGATGAAGGCCGCGAACGGGTCATCTCGTTCCAGTCCAGGCAGCTCAAGGCATCCCAACGGAACTATCCAGTCCACGACAAGGAGCTACTTGCCATGAAGTACGCTCTTGTCAAGTTCCGAGTCCACCTCCTGGGCTCGACGCCCTTTGTCGTTTATACAGACCACGCGTCCTTGCGGACTGCCGTCAACACGCCGCATCTCTCACAGCGGATGGCGCGTTGGTTGTCATTCTTCACGGAATACAACTTCCGTGTCGAGGACAAGCCGGGCAAGTTGAACGTGCTTGCCGACGCGCTGTCGCGCCGACCCGACTACGAGCTTGCTCATATTAGTCGGGTCACGACGGATCTGTATGAACGCATCAGGCTGGGGTACCGAGACGATGCCAGTCTCGGACCTCTTGTGCGGTTCTTGACCGCTGGCTCGGAAGCCAATGCCGAGTGGCTCACGCCCCGACAACGTGCAAGGCTGCACCGCTATGAGTGGGCTGACGGTTTGCTCCACTATAGGGTCGAGCCCGAGGATCCTCCCCGTATTGTCGTGCCCAACGACGAGGATCTCAAGTACGACATCCTGATGGAGGCGCACGACGCTCCATCCAGTGGCCATCTCGGCCGTGAGGAGACGTACGCGTCTGTCTCGCAGATGTTTTGGTGGCGTCACATGTACAAGTGGGTCGCCACCTACGTCCGTACGTGCGAGACGTACCAGCGCGTGAAGCCTGCCGGTCACGCCTCGACACCATTGCAGAGCCTGCCGGTCC